TTTGAGATGGCTTTTCCTTTGTAGCAGCCCTTCAGATACTTAAATAACTTCTTTAAATAATCTCTTATCTAGGCTAAACATGCCCAGTTACATCAATTTCTTTTTGGACTTAGTTTCAGACCTCTGGTTATCCTTGTCTTCTTTGCACCTGTTCCAGCTTCAATTCTTTTGAAATTGTGATGCCTAGAACTGGACACAGGAAATAGAGTATAATTCAGTGGTTCTTAAACTGTGTGACCCAATTGCCCCTTTTCCTGGTTTCAAATAATATCATTACCCTCCCCCCCACCCCCCCACCCCAGACTCTGTTGTTTTATACAAGCATCTTAGTAGTGGCAGTGCCAAACTGGATCCTTGACTCACAAACAGGCAATTACAAATTGCTCCATTACCTCCAGGATATGCCCAAATTACACCCTTTCTGTTTAAAAACCTCTAGTCTAATTTGTCCCTTCCTGCTTCTGATAGACCAGAACCAACAGAACTAAAGAGATCAGGCAATTGGAACAGAGAAATAAACATTTTCTCCCTGAAAGCAGAGTTCCTCTCTTGTTTTGAGAAGCACAGAATATAACCCTCTATGATAGGCCTTTTTGATGTTGATAGTGATGATGATGATGGTGATGATGATGATGGTGATGATGTTATAGAATTTGATTAAGCTAAGTTGCTTTCAGGTCAAGTTAGTTGGGTGTTTCTTAACCTTGAAATGATTTCATTTTTCCCCATTATCCAAGACTAGAAAAATTAGTCTTAAATGCTACATGTCTCTCTCTCCTAATTGGTTAAAAATGCCATTCTGGAAATGTTCAGGCAACACTACTTTCTCATAATATTGGCAATGTCACATGCTCTAAAATAATTTCTTTTATCTTTAAACATTAGAGAAAAATTTGTGTAGAGAAATAGTGGCATCTTACAAGGAATGTTTTTGGAACAGGAGAGAATTAAATGTTCAGAAGCCCAGAGTATCCATATTTTCATATTACTATAAATTACATGTAAAAACTCCATTAACATAATACAGTTTTTGTACTGTATTTCTTGAGTTTTTTAAATGCACAAATATTATTTTACAAAACTGCCCATTCGCCTCTGCAGTTTGGTTGTACATTAAAAAAAAACCACCTCTGCATCTGTTTCCATGTGTGTGTAACATCTCTGTCAATTGTGACTAAATGTTTCTTTCCCCTTCACTTCTCCTGGAAACTCTTCCCATTCTGAAATTCCAGTTGCTGAACAATTTCTTTCATGGGAACCATGAATTTGATTTCAGCTACTCTGAGGTGCAAAGAAGCTTCTCTTAACTGCCTCTAACATGATACTCTGGAAAGTTAACAGTAGTGTGTCAGTTTTGGAGAAACATGAAATTTGTGGTACTTCTGTCACATGCACAATCTACAGGGGGACACAATTTAGTTTCCCACTAAATCAGCAGAATGGTCAGTATCATTGTGTTTGAAGAATTAGAAAAAATATATTGCTGTTTTCAAAGAGTTAATGCTCCAGAATTATTACTTTCATCATTATCTCATTCATTACCACAATACTTTGTTCCTCTTATTAAACAAAAATAGCTTATATTGTTTTCTGTTTGACATTATTATCAAAACAAGCACATTTAAATGAATAAATAAAGCAAATAAAAGCTTTGTGCTTTTGATTTACAATTGTAGTTCAAATAAATAAAGGACCTTTAGGAGAAGGGGGAATGAATAACTGGGGAGAACAGAAGACATTCGGAACAAACTGAAAATGGAAGCACTTTTGAAATCTAGCTTGTGACTAGTAGTTGATTCCTAGTCTGAAGATGCTGAGATCACCTGCAGGTAACCTATTTTAGGGGTAACTAGTCACAAAATAGCCATCATGGGTACTTAACTGTTCTCAAAATGCCTTGGAGCCAATTATATTACATCATCCAGCTAAAATTTTCTAAGAAAAAAACCCTTGCTGCCAAAGGATGTGTTATTTGGTACAATGATGACAATGACACTTCATTGGAGGCTCCAGAGTAAGATAAGGTCTTCTTCCATTAGTCATGTAGCTTCTCCAATCTTGTGGACACAGAGAATTTATGTAGGATAATGGCTAATTGCACATTCAGAAACTTCAGTTAGAGCAAACAGTTCTGGAGGATATGAATACAGAACATCATCCTCAGTCTGCCCCTGGCCAATTGTGAAGGCAACGTCTTTCTGCCTTTTCTTGCTTTACATCAAAAGTTCTATTTTCCAACTTCTGATGGCACAAGCACCATTGGAAGGTCTGTCTGTCTTCTTTCAGTTCATTGTAAGTGATATCTCTGCTACAACTGCAAATTTGTGTTGCGGTTGCATGCCTAAACCCTCCACAATAATTCCATCCTGGACTGGTGGACCAGTGAAACACTGAACCTTTTCCTTGTGTGGCTAAAAGGTCAAGTTTTTGTTTTCTTTTAAAATGAATCCTATAGAAATTACTTAAAAGCAGGGAAATGATGGATGGACAGGAGGCTGGAAAGTGGCTATTTGGGGGTAGTGGTGATGAAAAGACTGCAAGAAAGAGAAGGGGAGAAGGGATGAGTACATGGATGTACTCATGCATGTCAGCACAACAAGGAAGTGAGCAAACTCCAAATCTTAACTGACAATCTTAAGGAAAAAGTACCAGCAACAACAAAAAAGTTTTCCCCTTCTCTCCCAGTGCAGATGACTCTCCCAGTTGGATTAGAATCTAATAACGCTTTTTGCATGCTAAAATTCTCCTAATGGGTCTTGCAAAGCCAAGAGCTGGGATAAGGTAACTCTTCAGATTGGGCACAAAGGCTGCTGTGAAACTGACAAAAATTAGTTTTCCCTTCTAGCTCAAATGATAGCAAGAACAGTGCAGCAGTGAAACAATGAGGTGTACTCCCCTCACCATCCAGTGGTGGACTGATAATGTGTTTGCCATAAACAAGCAAGTTCTACACTGAGCATTGGGCTAGATGACCTCTAAAGTCCCAGCTGTACAATTCTATGACAGTTAGATATTGTTTGCTCCTGCAGAGAGAAACTACATGTCTTCAAAGATGCACCCAGACAAGAAAAGTGATCGGTGCTTGTTTTCCTGGCACAACTGGGGGCACCAAGCTTTGGCAACAATGCTAGCTCTGTGTTCTTCCTGATGGCAGCTAATGTCGTCCCAAATTAATGGATTCCCCAACTTCTATGGCCCAGCTTTTTTACCAAAGCTTGAAATCTGGACAGTGATTTCTTAAGCCAGCTTCACTTCCAGGTGGTGTTGGCACAGAAGACAAGCAGCTTAAGGCTGCTGTACAAAATTATCCTTCTCTCTCTACTAGCATGAATGGAGAGAACAATACTAACTTTCATGGCAAAGTTGTTGCACTCTGAACAACTGATAGCATCATACAAATGCAACACATTATTACATTTACTGAAAAATAGTGTAGCTACCAATCCAGTTCTCCCACTTCCTGATTATTAGGACTAATGAGCATCTCAGTCTGCTGAAGACCAGTGGTGAGATTGCCATTAATCTTCGCCTTTCCATGTACAAGTTGCATGTCTGGTTGATAATGGGAAGAGGTTAAATGATTGAGATAATTCTGCTTGGGATTATACATGGTAGCCTACACCCTTAAGATATAAGGGCAGGAGTTTGCTTCCACTCAGAGGATGTAATAGAAAGCAGTAACCCAGCTTACATATTGAGGTGAGACCTCATGGAGTCTGACCAATGAAATAACTGAGTAATTTTCACCACCAAGTTTTGGAACCAGAGGAACAATGAAGAGCTGAAAAAAGAAGAAATCATTGGTTTCTGGAAAAAGAAGAGATCACTGGTTTCTGGAAAAAGAAGAGATCACTGTTCACTCAGAACAGACTTTGAAGCTAAGCTAAACCTTACTAAGATAGGGAATAGATGGAACTCAAGCCAATACTGGAAGCAGTTTGTCCTCAGGCTTGTAGTTTTCTTCAGAAAAAAAAAATGCTAAAAGCATTGCATCTATAAGGAGGGGAGATATCACTGAACAAGTACATCTTTGCCCTTGAGTCCTCCCCTCCCTTGCTTTCCAGCCTGGATTTCTTCCCCAAAGACTTAGGAGGCGTTACTGTTTGGACAGCTCCCTACTTTTCATGCCACTCCTGCTAGAACTAAGCTGTTGGAAGAAGTTGTTCAGCTGTTTCCCTGCTACTTCTCTTCTAGAAAAGAAGAAAAGTGTATTTCCTTTTGCCTTTATTATAGCCTAGGCTTCCAAAAACATTCCACCAGCTTATTGGGGGTAGGGGGAAGATACTGAAGTAGGGGAAATGGAGCAGATACTTTCAGGAGCTTCTTTTGCTTCGAATTGTTTGTCTTTTAGGAGAGGACGGAGACATCTGCATTCCTTCGAGGATCGTTTCAGCCCCCATAGGAACTCATTTATTGAAAGGGCCAAACTGTTTCTAAAGCTCCATCCACTGTAGGTAAGGTGACTTCACCTTAATGGATTCTCTTTGCCCGAAGCATCTGAACTCCTTGGCCAGCGCCTGCTGCCCGGCGCGACTCCCTCACCTTTGCCTTGGCTTTTGAAGAAGGAAGCCGTGGGGCGAGCAGAAGATACTTATTCCAAGGATGTTTGGAAAGGGAACTGAGCTTGACTGGGAAGATCGGGCCAGAGGAAGGGAGGGCGCAACGTGTGGAAAGTCGGCTTAGTACAAGTCGGTGGGTAAGGGATGGCTGGGCGGCGAGAAAGTTGCTTGCCGCGGAGGTAAGCAGCTCGTCTCGCCCCGGCCCGCCCCTTGCAAGCGCCGATTGGGAAAGTGCCCAGGCGCTCTCCCAAGCTCAGATTCTCCCGCCTTTTCCAGCTCGCGTTTCTCCTCCCTCCACATTTGTTCTCTCAACTCCTCATTGGCAGCCTTGGGCCGAGGGAACGATGACGCACTCGCTCCCCGAGGGACGTGAGGTATAAACGCCCGACGGGCACGCAGCGCCGGTGCAAGTGGAGCGCTGCCATCCGGTGTACCCGGAAGATGCCGCGGGGGTTCCTGGTGAAGCGGAGCAGGAGGCCGGGGGGCTCCTATAGGGTGCGCCCCGCAGGCGGACCCTCAGCGCTCCGCCTGGAGGAAGCGCCCCGCCTCGCAACGCCTTTGCCAGAGGCGCCGCAACAGCTCCAGCAGCTGCCTCAGCCAAACTCCCCCCTGATGGCGGTCTGGGGCGCTGGAAGTTCGGACCACGCAGCCCTCGCAGCGGAGGAGTCCAGGCGCTGCGCCCCTTCTCCCGTATCTGCCGAACCCTCTCCCCTGGGTCCTGCCTTGGCACTGGCGGAGAAGGTGCCCCTGATCCCACGCACTCCTGTGCCTTTGCCCGTGCCGCTCCCCTTGCCTGCTGCCCCGCTTTGCCCGGCTATCCCGCTCAAGCGCCCGTCTCGAGCGAAGGCGCCGCCTGCCAAGAAGCCCAAGGCCGTGCGCAAGCTGAGCTTTGCAGACGAGGTGACCACGTCGCCAGTGTTGGGGCTGCGGATCAAAGCTGCTTCCGAGGCGGGCAGCGAGGGGATCCGCGTGGCTCGCCCGACGCTGCTGGGTGAATTTGTTTGCCAGCTGTGCAAGGAACCCTATGCTGATCCCTTGGCCCTGGCCCAGCACCGTTGTTCACGAATTGTGCGCGTCGA